TAAATTAGTGGCTGAAGTAGGTGCTGTGGTTACTGAAATGTAAATTGTCACGCCTCCCTTCTGTAACTGGGTGGAGGAAAATGCACTATCTATAAGTTTTTTCCTTTATCTTCTCCTGTGTATACCTCTGATATGTAAATTAGTGACTCCATTAAACTTAGAAACATGTTTATAGAAAACCTCAGATTTCAAATTAAAAAAAATCCATTTTTTTCATATTGCTACAGGCTGAAAAAGCATGTAAGATTAAGTGATCAATAAATGGAGCTTCAACTGCTAGGGCACTATCTTTTTCTTTCCGTGAGTAATCATTAGATACTTCAAACATTGATTTGAACTGATTAATACTGACGAATTCATAGGTATTGGAATACCAAGACAACGGGCATAACAATATGGAAAACATTGTTTGGTGTCTAGCTGATCTCCAATGTTTAGTTTTGCATCATCACTTAAGTACATTATTTAGAAATACAGAAGATTATGTATGTGTGTGAAAATATACCCTCCATTCTTGAGTTCAAATGAGAACTCTTATGTAAGTAATACATCGATTTTTATTTATTGTTCTACCTCACAGTCCTTCCCCTTCCTTAGCATTTGTTCCCAGTGTGACTCTACTGGGTATGGTTGGGAGGCAATTTAATGAGGTGGTAAGATGGGGTGTAAGTATATATTATACATATATATTACACATATATATTACATATATATAATCTGTTACATACATGTATTTTTTCCAGTGACAAATATGTTTAAGTAATCCCTGTTCTTGTCACCTCATTCCTATGTTATTGCCCCATTCTCTGTTATTTTAAGAAATAAGTCCCAAAGGATCAGTTTTCTGGCCTGATTAATCACATATCTAAGAGTTATGAAGGTGAAGGTGTGAAGAACATTTTAGAACAACTATGTGAGTACACGGAGCAGAAGGGGAGATGAGACCTTGCACCAGAGCTGTGACCAAAGAAACACAGTATATAAGTAGCCGTGCTTCAAGTTAGTAGTATTTGCAGAGGAACTGCTTTTTAGTCAGAAGAGATTGGGAAAAGGAAAAGGTTTTAAGATCCATAGGATCATAATGGAATCATAAAATGTTTTGGGTTAGGAGGGACCTTTAAAGATCATCTCGTTGCAATGCCCCTGCCAGGGTCAGGGACACCTTCCACCAGCCCAGGTTGCTCAGAGCTCCATCCAGCCTGGCCTTGAACACTTCCAGGGCTGGGGCACACACAGCTTCTCTGGGCAACCTGTGCCTGTGCCTCACCACCCTGGCAGCAAAGAATTTCTTCCCAATATCTAACCTAAACCTACTCTCAGTTTAAAGCCATTACTCCTAGTAAAGCCCCTCCCCAGCTCTTTTGTAGCCCCTCTAAGAAGAGGAAGGAGCTATAAGGTCTCCCTGGAGCCTTCTCTTCTCCAGGCTGAACAAGCCCAGCCTGTTCCCACAGCAGAGGTGCTCCAGCCCTCGGAGTATCTTTCTGGGCTCGCTCCAACAGGTCCGTGTCCTTCCCTTGGGGGTCCCAGAGCTGGACGCAGCGCTCCGGGTGGGATCTCACAAGGGCAGGGCAGAGGGACAGACCCCCCTCCCTTTCCCTGCTGGCCGCGCTGCTTTAGGACCTGCTTTGGAGCGCATGGGGGGGCCGTGCTGGTGCCGGAGAGCGAGGGAGGCGCCGCTGCTGGAAGGGCGAAATCCGCAGCTGGAACACTCTTTGTCACGGCGTTACCAGCCGGGTCCTGTGGAACGAACCCCGCGGGCCCTTCCCCAGGGCTGCGGCGGGCAGGGCGCGTTCAGGGGCGCAGCCGGGGCTGGTTAGATGATGCTCGGCGGTGTTCCCGGGGGATGATCCTGTGGGATGATCCTGTGGGATCCCGGCGGTCCTGCCGCGCCCCCTGCCGGTGCCGTCCGGCAGCTCTCCCGTCCCGCTCCCTGCCCGCAGCATTCCCGGGAATTGCAGCATCGTTTGTCCCGGCTGCGCTTACTGCGGAGCAACACCGCTTTATCCCCGGCGTTTTCCTTGTTAGTTTACTTATTATTATTATTATTATTGTTGTTGCTTTCAGTGCTTAACGAGCTTCAAACCGCCAGGCCTCGCCCTTCCCGCTCGGCTTCCTGGGGAGAAAAGGGCAGGAAATTAAAACTCCACTTTCATTGAGCTGTGAGGGGAAAAAAAAAAAACAAACAAACACGTTTGAAAATTGGGTTTCTTATGGTAGAGACTACAGGTAGGAGCTAAGTGTGTCTGCGGCTGTCAGCAGCATCCTCCTTGTCAAACTAATGCGAGGGGAAGTTTGATAACCCCCAGGTAAAAGCCCTTTGATTTTGATTTTAAATTCCAATAAAATTTTAGAGGTCTTGTTTGAGGCAGGATTTGTTTGCGGGATGTGACATCTCTGTCTCTACTTTCTGTCTTAATGCCTTGTCATAGTTCTTGATGTCTGCCTGTCAGCACAGCGAGAGGGATTTTTTCATGTCTGAATAGTCACCTTAATGATAGCAGATGGAAACGCCACGGGGGGCCCGAGCCCATCACACTGTCATTGTCACAGGCTGCCCTGACCTGCTTCCACTCCTCTATTTTTTTGTCCCTTTTTAAAGGAGAAATGGATGGTAATTGAAAAGGATCTTAAGCAAGACTTAGGAAGCTGTAGACAACACGATTCCCCACTATCTCCCTCTGTTTTCACAAATAAAGTCTTAACCTCTTAAGCATCAATAAGAGTAGAAAGCAAGCTAAATTGGTAAAGCTTTATAAAGATTGGCCTACCAAAGCTTTTTCTTTTGCCTCCTCGGGATACATCCAAGCAGTGCTACACCCTCATTGTGGTTGGCATGTGATTATTTCCTTCAATATATCCTTTATTTGCATAGAATTATCAATTTCCTAAGGAAAGAATGTATGTGGACTAACAATTCATTGCTGTGCTATGTGTCTTGATCATGCATGAAGTTATGCATATTGACAGGAAACTTCTAAACTCGTGTCTAAAACTAGTTGGGAAGACTCATAGATTCGCTGTTGTTTGCTGCAGCATTTTAGGATTATTTTTATTAGGTTTCTCTAGTCTGATTTGCAAAAACTGTGTTAACTTACAACCAGTTAGAAATTTGGTTTTGGTTTAGTAATAATATATTGCTACAAAAACCTGAAAATCAGTAGAGTTTGAAGAAAATAATATGTCAATGGAATAATGAAAGGAAATTTTAGTTATACATGGACTTCTCTTTAATATCACATAATAGTAAAATATCCTTCATATCCCTAGAGAAAAATCAAAAGCTATCAGTTTTACTGGATCACAAGTGAACTTCAGAAAGCTGGGACTGTGATGTTTTGCAGTGAAGGTATGAGTTCTGAGGTGTAAGGAAAGCTTTGTACATGGATTTGAATGTCACTTCTGCCACACAGAAATAGCATCCTTTTTTCAATTTTAAACGTTAGAATAGGTTTAAGCTATTTTTTTTTTAGCCTAAATACCTTTCACTATTCTGGTTTCTTAAATGTGTGTTTTATCTGCCTCAAAACTATTTAATCACATTCTGGCTGAAACATATAAAGTTGCTTTCTTAAGTTGAAATGGAATCATATGCCGATTATCTTCATTGTTGCTCAGAAGCCAAATAAAAATGAGGAATAGCATCAAAGCTTGGTTAATTCCTTAAAATCTTGGATGAAAGCAAGTTCAGGATGCAGGAGAAACAACGAAGTAAATGAAATGATTTTGTAGGGAATTCCATTTAAATGAAAATGGCACACTATGAGAGGCGAGAGGCACTTGCTGGTTTATTTTTTTTATGTTGGGTTTTTTTTTTTTGTACTTTATTTTTAGAATGCTTACATCTGATGAAATTAAATGTGTTAAGTGATGATGCACTTTTGAAAAAAAGTATGGGATACCTGACTAAATCCTTAGGCAATGGGTTACCTTTAAAAGCCTGGTTGTGATCTGGATATTTGACTGCACCAGTGATCAACCTAATTGATTTATTTTTTTTTTTTTAATGCCTGTACTAAATCTGGATTCAGTAATACTCTAGGTAAATTCAGAATCAATTAGAATTGGAAAGCAAGCTAAAAATTACTCAGTGGCAAATCTTCCAGTCATTGTAGAGAAAAGATTCTAACTGAAACATATTATGCCTTTTATTTTACTTTCTTACTTTATATAAGCCAATTTGACTATTTAATATATCAGGAAGAGATTGCTTTGGCTATTCTTATACCCATATTCACATGGCCAGCTTTAAACCACTAAAATATATCAGTTCACAATTCAGAGGAAAACAAAGTGGACTATTACATGATTAATAATGAGTAGTTATAGTACTCTGATTTCAAAAGCAGTTTTCCTCTCCTCCCTCTCCCCCCATCAATCTGTGATGGATTTACTTGGAAGGAAAGTAATGTATTGAGCAAATAACATGTTTTATTTTATACAACTTATAAATTTACATTTTACGTGTTTTGCTGTGTTCCTTTTGCTGTGTTATGAAATTATATTTCAGCCCATTAAATCTTACTGTAAAATCAAACTGACAACTAATACTGGCTTATTTCACCACAGTTAATTAAAAGTGGGTTTGTTTGGTTTTTAAGTTAGGCTGCTTTCTCAATATCCCTGCAGTAAAAATCAAGCATACCAAATAATCACAGGGGAAAAAAAGAGGATTTAAAACCAAACAAAAACCCTTCTCCCCCCCCAAAAAACCCAAGAAGCTCCCAAAACATTTACTTTCTGATTATCTGCCTGAAATATCCAAATCCACAACAGGAAAATAAATGCCAGTGAGGTGGAAATCATTTAAGCACAAAACACTATGAGATGTACACAGTGGAAAATATTGAAGGAAAAGACATACAAAATCATTTTTTCAGATTTATCTGAATAATACTTATCCTAGCTATGACTTGTATCTGAAAATAATCAGTGAATCTTTAAGGCAAGTGTCTTACAATATCCTTTAATAAATTGTTCCTACTTCTCTTTCCTAACAGATTAAATATTTTCAGATGTATAACTGTTACAGGTCACTGATCAGTAACAGTCGCCAATGGATATTTCCTAATGGTATTCAGGTAAATAATCTTAAAATATGTATAATTTCCTAATGTTTTATCCAAAGACATTTTTAGTGCTTCTAAATCATGAATAGTCACTAACCATCACCTTTATCATCAGTGGAAAGACCATCATACAGCTCAAATCTCTCTCTTTTGAAACAGTTCTTATTTTCACCAGTATCAATCTAGCACTAAGATATCAATCACATTGAATAACCTATAACCTATAGGTTAAAAAAGGCAGAAAACTGGCTGCTGGGAGGGTGTCTGAGTTGGAAGTACCTGAAGATACACCAGCCAAGTGGCTGTTGGGTTGTTATTTTTGTGTCCAGCATGTAAAAATGCAGTACAGGTGCTTGTATTTCCTTTCTTGATTCACTCTGCAGAGCACTCAGTGCCATGTGCACTGGCTCTGTGTATATAATCTCATTACTGGCTTTGCAGCTGTTTGATTTTACTCAAAGGTCAGCTTTGATGTTATTTCTATATCCAGGTCTCCCTTAAATTATGTTCTGAGGTTGACCTTTGACAGAGCAACTGCAGCTGGGAACAGTGATGTTACAGTTTATTTTTATAACTTTTCTGAATCCTAATTTTTATTCGCTGATTGGATGTGACAAGTGCATTAATTGCCACTCTGTCAAAGTTCTCTGGTATAATAGAATAATTGGGCTTTGAGGGAGAGGGGGGGAAAGAGACTTTTAAAAAAAATTAAAACATTTCTCTATTGAAGCTAATTGCTGATTGGTAACTAGCACAACATAACTGATTTTTATACCTGCTGAAACAATGAAAAACTGGTGGCGAAGTAAACTTGTTACAGCCTTCTTATAACAGGATGTGTCCTTCAATAAACAGGAATAACATCTCCATTCCTGTTTGCAGAAGTTTTAAGGTTATTTCAACTGTGCTAATTGAGAGAAAAAAAAAATCATGCTTGTTTTGACGTTTGCTAAAATGTGTCTTAAGTAAAAATTTCCAATAGGCTAAAACAGAAGCTACCTGAGTTTCTTAATGCCTTATGATGTCTTATGTGCAATTTTGTTCCTGGGATTGTCTTGATCCTGTAAGTGGCTGCACATCCAAGTTCTGAGTAGTCAGCATTCAGGGTCTGATCGGCTTCGTCCACTGTCAGGAGAATGCTTGTGTGGTCAGAACAAGCAGCCATAAATATATGTGTGTTTGCAGCATTAGGATCTATATTAAATATTATTAAATGTACATATTGATTCTTAAGTACTAGCCAAGAAAAACAATTATGTGCAACAATAATAACCTAAATTTATCTTTCTCGGGTCTCTCGTTGCTATTGCTCACTGGCTGGCTTTTTGAAAGACAGTTGAGGTTTGCACAAGTAAACTCTGTTTTTAGACAATAGTTTAACCTCATACTTGTGTGCATCTGTAACAAGTAGTCACAATGTTTGCTTAGGTACAAATTAAACTTTTTGCTTTAGTCAAATAAAGAGGCAATTTATCTATAAGAGGCAGGTACTGAACTAGAATTGATAACCATAATGGGATATTTATTGTGAGTTATCTAGACTACCTCTATCTTTAACTGAGGGGAGTACACACTTGTAAAGAGCTATCAATTTTATCCTAAAGTAAATTCCTAGAGAGGTTTCCTGCATTGCCCTCCACTGATACTTATTTCTCATCACTGGCTTGAGAGCTGGGCTGGCTCAGTGTGGATATCTGAGATTAGCTCAGATGACCCTCACCTCTGGGGCTGTTCCTGATAACAGTGGAGAAACCAGCTGAGTTGTCTTGGAAGAATGTGCATAATTTTGGTTAGAGGGTCTATACACAGCAGTTTGCCAGTATTGATCCCTGCAACACAGTCAGTTTTGGATAAATTCCTGGTCACTGGAACTGCTGGTTCCCTTTCTTGGTGGGATGCAAGGAGGGTGCGTGGAGAAGATGCTAGAAGTGATTAGTACTTCTCTGACTTGAGGACTTAAGTGTTACCCAGCTTCCTTCTGGTAAACAGAATAGTAATTTGCTCAACAATTTTTTTCTGAATAGTCAACTTCAACATTGTTCATTTGCTGTGCAGTGGTTTTATATTTTGTCAGCTCACAGTGATGTAATGTCTCTGAGAGTGATCATTTTATGATCTAGAACATTTGAATATTCCTAGTCTAAATACATTATAAAATGAAAGGAATAGATAATACGGATGTAAACCCAGAAACTGTGCTTATAGGTTCTGGCTTTGATATTAGAAAGCAGGATGAAAGAATCCAAGAGTTCCGCATCTGGAATGCACACTATACTGTAAATTGTAATGTGGTGTCTTCAAGAGGGACTCTTTAAAGCTAAATTCAGGATAAAGGTGCTAGATACAGTATAATTTTATTCTCAGAGGCTTAAAGTTCAGTGAGGTACAGAAAATTCTAAGAGGATTACACTAAGAGGGGAAAAGGCTCAGATGCACGTTCTGGATGTATGTACTTTAAAAAGGTCTTCAGATTTAGGTATTAGAGCTGAGCCCCTGGCTGTTACTTTTAATCTTTTATTGCCAAATAAAACCTTTCCAGCAGAGGAGACTTCAGGATGTATAATCCTCATGCATAGGCCTGGGATTGTAGCTAACCTTGCCAATTAGAGCCTGTTGTTCTTTTATCACTGAGAAAGATCATCTGTAAACCAGCCAGTTGGGATAGACAGTCATCAACTGATATAATCTCTCAGAATTTTGTCAGCTGCTTTGGGTTTCTGTCAGAGGGCTTGGGGGAAAAGTCGCTGTTATTGGGTTTGGGGGTTTTGTTTTGACAAATGTTGCCCTTGCCATAGTTCAGCAGGCTGTTTCTGCTGGGATTTTAGAGGCATTATTGTGTACCTTTCTGTGTTCTTCCTCTTTTGGCAGAATGTGAAATGCTTTGAATGTCTCTGTAAAGATCACTAATTTCTTTCATTCATAGAGGGGAAATTTTCAGCGTTTTGGATAATTCAAGTCTGATTTTCCACCATGCTGTTGCATTTTATGTATAACCATTCAATACTCAAGGTGCTTTGAATACAAGAAAACATAATAGATGAAAGTAATTGAGACCCATTTATGAGTTAAACACATTAAGTAGAGTTTAGCCCTTTACTGTGAATACTTTGTCAAACTATTGTTATTAGAATGAATTTTTGTTAATATAAAAAACAAGATGAAAAAAACTTAGATTGCCTACAGTTTTGATTTGACGGCACTGGCATTCTTTTTGAAGTCTTTCCCCTTGAATGTTTTTTAGCTAAGTGAAACCCTGTATTATTAATCAGTGAACAAACCCTTTTTATTCTCAATTTTACTTTTTTTTTTGATTTTTTTTTTTTTGGTAGGCTTTTATTAGATCCATTATATTCTTTTCTAAGTTTTACAAACTAATTTAAGAGAATTTCGTGTTTATCTTATGCTTAAGAGAACTCCAAAGTGCCATAAAGGCACCATGTCTGTAATTTGTGATACAACAGTTTTGCATGGCACAATGAAATAATCTGTATAATTTTTCCTGCTGTTTGCAAACTTCACAAACTTTTCCAGCTTTGTTTGCAGCTTTGACTGCTCTGTCTCAGCTAAACTCCTCTGTAACTCTCTCATGGGATGCTAGGCTTAAACAAGCTGTCAAATTAATTGAAAAAGTTGAAGTCCCCAAAAAGAAAGTCAACAGCCAGTCATTTCTGTAGATCCTATTTCATCTGATTCTGTGTTTTAAAACACTTGTGGGCCAAGAGTAGCATGATGTTGACTCTTTCTGTACTGTGAAAACCATGACGTTTCTTTTTACTGCCGGGAATTCTATTCTTGTGATCAACCACTAAAAGAAATATTGAAAGGTTAGAATTTCTAACCTAAAATTAATTAATGTCACTGTAAACATTGTGTGGCAATTACCTCTTTCTGTGGGTGTTACTTCTTACAAAAGGTTTTTATTTATGAAAAGGAGTCTGATCTTCACCATGAGACCATGGGAGCTCTACCAGCTCTGCTCCCAACAAGGGTGGAGGAGTTTTGGATAAATTCCTGGTTGTTGGAACTGGAATGCAAGGAAGGGAAGTCCTTCTCATGTTTCTGTCAGGTGTGGGCTGTAGAAGGTTTGAAATGCCCATGGAAGGGCAACCTGGGAATCTGATTCTACTTTCCCTGTGTTTGCACTCTCGCTGCATTTTGAATATTCCTCTCGTGGCAACAACGGTGGATTTTTGTCCTTCTTCAAAGTTGAAAAGGCTGGATTGATTTGAATTTCAAAGAGAATTGAACTTTAAATTTGGGAATTATTGTTCTAGGCAGGAACAATAATTTCTTGGGCTAAACCAGAAACAATATATTCTAAAGTGATGCCCCTTAGTTTAATTGCTGTGAGATAAACTCTAGTTTCTCTAATTTTGCCAGTGTCCTGATTGTAAAAGTTACCATGAGGAAAACAGAATCTTAAAATGCTTCTAGTGGAAATAAGTCTCTCTCTCTCTCTCTCTCTCTCTCTTTCTCTCTCTGGTAAAATATTACTGGGAAATCTGAGCCAGTATTCAAATGGAAGGGGACAGGGGAAGTTGGTTTTTGTGTTGGGTTTTTGGTTTTTTTCCCCTGTACTCTGATCAAGTGGCAGAGAAAGCTTGGAAGGAATTACAGTGTCTAAGCCTTGTAGTCACAAAAGCACAAGTCAGTGACAGAAAAGAGTCATAAGAAAAATAAAGATAGAATTGAAAACTTCTAACTAATCTTTCCTTGAAAAAGACATGGTTGAAAATAACACTAGAATTTAATGAAACCCATTGTCCTTATTTAATGTCCTCGTAATTCCATAAGGAACAGAAAAATAACTGAATATCAAATAATTCCTAAACAACAAAAGTAAGAAACATGTTTGAAATTGCTACAACTCCTATTTTATTTTAAACTTTATTCAAGTAAAAGAGATCTTTACAACTATTCAGATGTTCTGGCAAATTATCTAGGTCAGTAAGTCTTCCTAGAGAGGGCTAAAGTTAGTACAGAGTTCACTTGATTCTAGGGTTCTATTCAAATATCTTTTGGTTCAAAATCAGGATTTGAACATTAGATTTAATTTCTAAGGCTTTTTCTTTCCTTCTGTAATTCAGCCCAATGTTCCTCTCATATTTCACTGAAAAAAAAAAAAGAAAATCACATAATTTAGTATCTCTTATTTGCAGTCTGGAATTTTCCTAACTAGCAAAGTGATAATTTAAAACATCAATAACTTGTTTCCCCGCTGAGAACAAATTATTTTTATCTGTATAGTTTTAATAATTCCTTTTTTTTTTTGTAGTATGAAGATCAGAAGCTTCTTACTACAAATTTCTTGAACTTCTATGAAGGTCATAAAAGTTTTAGAAAGCCTCCTTGGAGGTTCTGAAGACCTGAAAATACTAACCACTGAACAACTAGGTTCAAATTCAGGGCTGTCCCAGCTCTGAGCAGGATTTTGGGGTAGATGAACTCCTAAGGTCTCCTGCAACATTCTGTGACTTAATCTTTTTGTCTGTTTGCTTTTTCACCAGAGCCTTATAAAAAGCATTTTCTTGATGAAACATTTTTCTAGAAGCAACGGAGCTTCTAGAAAGCTGATGTGACCCTGACTTTCGGTGTGGGTTTTCTACTCTGCTGGAATGGAAACAGAGTAAAACAGGTCCTTGTGGCATAACTTGGACTGGGCTGCCTGCCTGTTAAAAACGGGGGTAATTGTTGGCTGTTCTCTCAACCGACAGCAGAGGGAGCGAATTCTAATGAGAGTTCTTATTCAAATTCTAGGGAGAAGGGTCGAGGCAGGGTCTTTGATTCCAAGTTATTGGCTAACATGGAGTAATAATTTTATTTCTTGGCAGAGACCCTACTGGAGGTGATAGAAAATAGGGGAGAAGCTGCTACTGCTGTCCTTCTCTTGAATTCCCCTCACTGAACAATATAGCATAATCTGATGCCAGAAACTGCAAGTGCAAAGAACTCCAAATGAATTCCTGAAGGAAAGGAGAAACCTGACTTATGCCACTTTATCATGCACTCGAATTGAAAACAAATATATTTAACCTTTTAGAAAGCTTGTAGAAGTCTTGGAATACGTATTTATGAATATTAATACAGCTTGGATTAAACAAAAAACTGAACTATGTTTAAAAATATTTCTACAAGAAAAAACAAAGGTGATACTGCAGAAAAAAACCCCAGAATAGTTTTGTGATTTACTTTTTTAGAAGTGTATTACATGCCAGATATTATTAAAGCCTTGCTTAGCCCACAGTCAAATGCTGAAGACCTATTATTGATGTTCTGAATGCTAATTGCTTCCACCACATTATCTTCGTTGTGAAGCTTCACCTCTTGATGAATGTAACCAGCCTCTGAATGCCAAATCAGCCCCATCAAGTTCAAGTCAAAGGTCTGGCAACAACAGAACCTTTCCACACTCATCAGATGCATTATCATATTGCCAACTTTCCTGCTAAATGTGAACTCCTTGTACTGCCTGGATTTATCTGGAGGGAGGTGGTGATACTGTAAGTAGCTCATCATTCAGACAGCACAAGGAGTATTTACCCAATTAGCTGGTTTAGCCTGGGATAGTGTTACACTCGCTATTATTTAGAGTTTTGATATCTGTCAAGAATTACAGGACAGATAGCTTACTCTGTGTGTGTGTGGTGTGTGGATACATTAAGTCATGTGTCTACGTGATTTACAGAATTCAGCTAAACTCCAATTTGTTTATTTCTGGTATTAATTGATCTTTTTTTATTGATACACCTAAAAGGGAACATTCTCCTTGTTCACCTCACATAAGTGACCACCACAAAGTCCATTCCTGAAATCTCAGTGTATGTGCTTTCTAAATCTATTATTTTCGATTAAAATTTTTCCTGAAGATTAAGAGGAAGATTCACATTACTCTCAAAACATGTAACACCGAACTGGATTAGTTTTTAATAATTCTGTCAAATTTGGATGTTCCTTTTTTTTTTTTTTTTTTTTTTTTTTTTTTTTTTTTTTTTTTTTTTTTTTTTTTTGGTATTTTTTTGGATTTTGTTGTTTGTTTTTTTCTTAAAGCATTTACTGAACTGTCTAGTCCTACTGGCAAAATGACTTAAACACATTTTGATAGACCATTTACCTCATCATAAATTTGTCTTAGAAAGAGTTTGTTTTGTGGTACAGGTTTTAAGACACATGATGAACAGCATAATGCCCCAGTTCCTTCTCCAGCTATCATATCATATTTGAGCAAGGATCAATGGTCTTTTTGTAATCAAAACATGAATATTTGTGTTTAAAGGCTTTTTTTTCTCCCCATTATTTCAGGACACACAGGTCTCCCTTTGCATCTTAATGAGGTTCACCTCATTTGTCTTTTTTGCACGAAAACACTTATTTATTGAGTTAGGAAAAGCAACCCATATCCAAAGCATGTAATCAGAAGCTAAAGATGAACGTAGGACCCTCAGAAGTTCAGTTCAGTCAGCACAGGGCTGCCTGAAAGCTTCTTTGAATCCACCTAAAATGCTTTTGTATGGAAAGCTCATGAAAGTGGCACTTTTATGATTTCTGGGTTTTTGCATATTTTCTGTTGCAGTCAAGTCAGCAATTCAGGACAAACTTATGGTGCTTCCATTTCTGGCCTCAGGTAGCAGAAGGCAACACAATACCTGTGAAGTTCAGATAAAAAACTTTATTAGAACTTGTAAAATCATATAGTCCAGCTCTTGGATATGCTGCTGAAACATTGATTTGCATGCTTCATTAAGCAAAATAATGTTTTGCTGGCATTCTATAGTACACAGGTAAACTTCAATTATCATTTTTTTTTATCCCTTGCTCCTGTGTTAGATAATGTTATCTGAAATATTTCCAGGTGTTGAGCTGTATTTGTACAGCAAATCTTTCTTAGGAGCTACAAAATATTTTGCAGGCTGACATTTTTCTAATGTTACCACTTAATCAGAAGTTAAGAATGATTATTTATTATTGTGTAGAAAAAATGTACAAGCAGAAAATGTTCTTAGAAATATATATAGAAAACCCACCAATATTCCACCAATAAGTAGCTGCTAGTGGCATTTTCTACTATAAGTTTTTAAGAAGGACTGAAATGTGCAATGTTGACAGTTGTCACTGAAAATGTCCTTTATAAAATAATTCCCTCTACTTCTAATCTTTTCTTACCCTTACAGTCAGTGTAGTAAAATGTTGAAAACAAAATACTTTAATGATATTATTACTGCAGCCATTCCTATTTTAAAATGGGGCTTAATCAAAAAATATTTTTGAGCCATTGATTTGTAGCAAAGGTTTAAACAATCTGCTTCTGTGGTTTGTTTTTGGAAGCAAAACCAAGTTCAAACTGGACTTTTGGCACATTTTAACCAGCATTGTTTCAGACTTGGAGTAAAACTTTATATTGGCTCGAAGACTATAGATTTGTTGCAATCTTTGCAGTTCACTGAACTTTTTTTCTTTTTTTTTTTTCCCTATGCATACATATTTCAAGTAAACTCTGTGGTTATAACAAGTGACACGTTATGGACCCTAAATCGTTGCACTGTGAAATATGCACAGAAAAAGGACAAATGAAGATATCAAGGGTCTGTTCCATTTTTCAGTGAACTGTAAAATGCCACCCTTGTTGTACAGCAGATCACTGGTTCTGAGCAGGGCTCATTGACTGCTAAGTTGTGGATAGTGTTTCACTTTCTGCAACTGTTAATATCCCGGCTTATCCAGGCATAATGACCTCTCTATTTGTGACACATTGTTGAATTTTCTGGTTCTTTTAACTTATTCAAACCTTTTTTTTTTTTTTTTTTTTTTTTCCCCTTTTCTCCATTCATTGGAAGGCTGGAAGGCTCTGAATTGAGCTGTGGTACAGACCTGCCTCGCTGTTGGTCAGCCAATTACAGTTGAAATCGGTGGTGGTGGCACATCTGTAGGTAAATATAAATTTAAAAGTGTAAAGGAGAGGTATTCTACATCTGCACTAGCTCTTCTTTTGTAGGGGGTGCTGCGTGTGTTTTGGATAATATTGGTATATCTGCAATATTGTTTGGCTTCATTAGTTCTGATACAGTAAGTAATCCATACTGCAATAATCTGTATTATCCTATAGCTGACATTTGATGTTTAAATGGATTGGAATTAGATTCCAACTTCATGACTAGTCACTAAATTACTATTACATCATAATACCTAAAGTATTGAATATTTTAAATGTTGATAAAGAGTTACATTTTTAAGGACTTTGACACTTCAAAATATGAAAAGAGAAAGGAGTTTTATGTAGTGTACAACGTTGGGTGTTCAGACCTGAATGCTTCCTCTGATCTTTCAAGGATCTGAAGTTGGTGGAAGTGTACCATGTTAGTTCAGATTAGGACCCATGCCTATATTTTTATTCTTCTGTTTGTTCCCCACCAAAAGAACAGTGTTTATTAGTTTTTATTTGCATAGTATGTTCTGAATAGCTCCAAGTTTTCTCTGGCCCTGCCATGAGGAAATTGAATTTTGTAGGGCTGTTTAAGCTGCCTCCAATAATAAGTAGAGTATATTTGTGTATTCCTGGAATATGTCAGGTGTATAAATATTTTACTTATCTTCAACATTGCTGACTGTCTTTTATGCTGTGTTTTCTATGCCTCCTTCCTTCCTAAAATCTGTAAATCTTGCCATACTTCACTGACAGAGAACTTTGAAATCCATATATTGAATAATATGGTGGCTCTAATATTAAATACTGAAGACTTTTCTCCTGGTATCAGTTTGTATTTTTGTGTCTATCGTTGAAATGTTCTCAAACTCTCTGTTGGTAAATCGAGGCCTCTACGATGTGGTGAGGTTATTAAAAAAAAAAAAAGGCAAATATTGATTTAGATGTTGATGCCAGTCTTCCATAGCCTTCAAGAGCCTGAAAAGAATCCACTTACTGTCTTTTTATGTGGCTCCCTGTGAAAGCACCTGCAAATATTTGCAACATTGGCCATCACTAGGCCTAGGCCACCACAGAAGAGTCAAAGGGGAAGGAAGATCTCTTAATAAATTATACCTATTACCTAGTTCAGCATGCCATCATTTGCTAAGATGGATGTGTTCCCAGTGGCATAGCTCCAAGGGGTCACTGTGCCTTTTATGCCTGGACTTTTCAGAGAAGAAATGACTGCACGGGATAGGATGAATGTTTTGCTAGACCATTGGGCACATTGATTTTTATTTTCATGGATATGTAGATCAAATTGAAATAACCTAAAGGGGCTGATGTGATACCCTGGGACTGTTAGGCATGTCAAGATTTGTAGCAAGCCTGTGTGTTTCTACTTCTTGGTACTCCCTGTAGAAAAATAGCGTGGGGTGTCATTGAGATCTGTCACTCGCTGACACTTAGGGGGAAAAAAATAGCCCCTACCTCTGCTAGACATTCCCTAGACACGTCCCAGATGAATAAGACTGTGTACTGAACCCAGTTTTGATTTATTTACATTTAAAGCAAGTGTTCTGCAAGTCAGACACGCACAGTCCTGGCTGGCTGATATATCCTTAAGCAACTGTCTGTATATTGGCATGTGAAGAATTCCTTCTTGCCTGATGTAGGACACTGCTTCAGAAATGTGTTTTTGTAAACACCCTGAAACTACAGAGCAAGAGCAGCTTCTATTTGAAAACTTGATAACATTGCATTTATTTAAGGAACCTTTGTTCAACTGTCATGTCAAAAGGAACTATTTATACAGCTATAAAATGTCAGAATTCATAGAGAATGAAGATATTTGGAGAACAGAAATTAAGAAAAACCCAAACGGCACAAACTTAATCTTATTTGAAATTTAGACTTTTGAATTTGCCCGGGACATTTAAAGATTTATTTTTTTTTAACATGGATTTGTATCACCCAAGGCTCAAGAAAAAAGTGATGTTATATGGGTTATTTAGATCTCAGACTGTATTTTAAACATCAGAGTCATAATTTTCCCTGTATATGTGCAGTGCCTTTTGTTTTATTTGAAGCTGTTTTACAATTTAAAAAAACCTGCATCACTCTTAGGTAAAGATGAAGTTATCTTTATATCATACAAATTTAGCAGATATGCCTGTGGAATATAAATTTAAGTTTTGTGACTCTCTGATTTTTGTTCAGCTGATATAGATAACTTAAAATTTATCTAATGTTTTAGAGCTTGTCAGATTGACAGGGAGATTGCAATTTTTGTCTTACTGTCAGGAATATCTACTTTTCCTCTTCTTCTTAGCATGTATTGTTCCCAACTTCCATATCTGGCATAAAAGTGTTGCTCAGTGTCTCTCTTTTGATATATAAAGAAAGGTTGGTTTTAGTAAAGAAGTGACCACAAGAAGCTAGTCAGGGACAACTTATTAATTTTATATAGTTTGACTTGTAAGCTGATTTTCACCATTTCTTTAACTTATAAAAGACTAAAAATTTGGACTGGCTTCAAGAACCTTACTATAAAGGCTTTACATTCCAATATGTTTGACTTTCAAAGTTATTTTTTTGTAAATCCTCAGAAACAGATGCAATTCTGATATAGAAAATCAGGCTTAGACTATTCTTGGGAAATATGACACTTTCTGATCTATTTATTGAGTATTGCTTTAATGCAGACAGTGAAATAAAACGCTACATATGGATATGTACGTATATATCTTTGGAGTCACAAATAAAATAATATTTACCTATATATTTTGAGAAAATGAATGAAGCTACATGTGTAGTGATGCTCCTCAGGGTTCAATTCCAGGGCCACTTCTGTTCCATATCGTTATCAATGATTGGGATGCAGGAGTTGAATGTACCAGTAGCAATTTTGCTGATGATACCAAACTGGGATGTGCTGTTGACCCTCTTGGGGGATGAGAGACCTTGCAGAGGGATCTAAACAGGCTGGAGCTTTGGGCTGTGATTAATGGGATGGAATTTGACAAGTCCATGTGCTGGATTCTGCACCTGGGATGGAGTAGCACTGGGCTCAGGTATAAATTGGGAGAGGAGAGAGAGAGCAGCCCTGCAGACAGGGATCTGAGGGGCTGGTCAGCAGCAACTCTATAGGAGCCAGAGTGTGCCCTGGCAGCCAGGAGGGCAAACCTCATCCTGGGGGGCATCAAACACAGCTCAGCCAGCCAGGAAAAAGAGGTGATTATCCCCCTGAGTTCAGTGTTGACATGGGCTCGAGTGCTGTGTGCAGTTCTGGGCCCCACAGTTTGGATGTGAAGGTCCTTGAATGCATCCAGAGAAGGGTAACAAAGCTGGTGAAAGGGTTGGAAGGAATCACAGAATATGCTGAGTTGGAAGGGACCCACAAGGATCATTGAGTCCAACTCCTGGCCCTGCACAGGACCATCCCCAAGAGTCACACCCTGTGCCTGAGAGGATCATCCAAAACCTTCCTGAGCTCTGTCAGCCTTGGTGCTGTGACCTCTGCCCTGGGGAGCCTGGTCAGTGCCCAACCACCCTCTGGGGGAAGAACCTCATTCTAATATCTAACCTCAACCTCCCCTGACCCAACTTCAGGCCATTCTGACTTTGGCCTTTTCTAGATTGGAGAAAAGGAGGCTGAGGGGTGACCTCATTGCTCTCCGCAGTTTCCTGAGGAGGGTAAGAGGAGAGGGAGGTGCTGATCTCTCCTCCCTGGGATCCAGTGATACGTGGGAATGGTTCAAAGCTGTGGCAGGAAAAATTCAGACTTGACATTAGGAAGCATTTCTTTACCAAGAGGGTGGTCAAACAATGGAATTGGCTTCCCAGATGGGTGGGCAATGCCCCAGGCCTGGCAGTGTTTAAGAGGCATTTGGACAATGCCCTTTGTAAATATGCTTTAACTTTTGGTCAGCCCTCAAGTGGTCAGGAAGTTACAATAGATAGTTGTTGTAGGTCACTTCCAACAGAGCCTGTCTATTTTAGATAGAAAAAAAATATTTTCAGAAATCTCTTTTCTTTTTCATAATGAAGGGGTTTGGGTTCAAATTAAATTCAAAAGATTAATGAAAAATGTAATAATTATGAAACTGATTTAAAAATTCTGATGTTGATGATATCATATGGAGCTGCAAAATTGTTCTGAGGTAGGTTTTTCTGATTTATTTTGCTCTAGTATAAAAATTAATTGATCTTCACTCCAAGAAGTCTTAAGACATGATTCATTTCCCATTCCTTTAGAATAAGCTGTAGAGGACTTAATTCTTTTCCACATCTTTATTTACTGCATTACATGCTTATTCATGGTGTTAGCTTCAGAAATCAAGTGTTATTTCCTGGCAAAGTCATGCTATTTGAAGTGTAAATGCTGTTTTATCTGCTAATTTATATTTGTGTTTTAGAAAAATGAGATGTAGCTCTTTGAGTTACTCATTTTGTATCAGGAACAAAAGCAGCACCTATCAACAGTGGGTTTAGGAATCACTGGCTCCATGTACTGTAAAGTATTGCATTATATCTGTATTTGGCAAATACTAGTTTTTGGTTTGGTTTTTTTTTTTTTTTTGTTTGTGTATTCCCTTTTTCTATATGAAACCTTCAATGAATGGTGTTTGCTATTTTGATGCTGTGATACCACTATGTTATTTGTTGTTCATGTTATTTTTATAAATATCTTCTATTTAATGAATAAATAGAAACTTACTATGTCCTCTAAAAATTACTTTAAATTTAACACAACTTGTTCATAATTTTACTTGTGAATTTTGATTTTTATTTTGGTTTTAATGTTTTGTTTCTTGAATTGCAGTTTCAATTATGTAGTAAAAATGGGCCTTATTCCTTAATCTGCATAGTAACCTGTGATAACTAAGAGTCAGTGTTTAGAAATGAGGCAACTCTAAAAAAAAACTAAAGAGCAATTGATATCTAAAATGTCAATTTAGATTCTCTGCTCTTATACATATTTGTTAACAGAAGCTTAAAACACATTCTGGGGTAGAAATTAAGACCATTAAGCTCAAGCTTGGTTACTAACACATTTCTATTAGCAGTTAACAAGCACAAAATAGAAAGAATTCATTTATTGAACAAACATGGCAAAACTAGTAAATAGGGAAATGTTCTTTGATTAAAGAAGTTACAGGCATCCTGTTTTTATTCCAAATCATACAACACCTTTGTGTAAAATTAAGGTGCTGTGGGGAGAATTTTGAGATACAATCCTTAATGTTGTTGTGGATGAATCTCAGTGAGTTTTGAAAAAGTCCTCTGTCAAAGAAGGTGTCCTAAACCCAGCACTGAAAATTAATTTTTTTTTTTTAATATTCAGGTCTAAGCAGAAATGTTAAATTTAGAAACACCTGTCTCTGCTGTAAACTAGAAAATTAATTGCAATAGAGGGTTTTTTTTTGAAATAGTGTTGAATTACTGTTTGCTTGTCCTTACTCTTGCACAGTTAAAAAAAGTAATACCTTTAAAATAGATTGTTGATATAAAATACAACATATTTTCCCGGAAAAATAAATTTGAGATGTTCCTTTCCAGTAGGCTTGGTCGGATCAAGAGCTTAAATGGCAATGAAAATGTGGGTGGTGTGAGGGCAGTGATGTTCAGTGCACGGTGCTGAGAGAGGAGCTGCTCCTCGTTTGTGTTTGCTGTGGCCAGGCATCTCTGCCAGCAGATAGCTGGAAGTCTGATGTTTTGCAGGTCACCTGGTTCATACAAGTTACTGCCAGGAATCCGTGGACAGCAATGGAAGGCTGGTGGAGTGGGTTTTTAATCCCCAGAGCCTTGTTATCTTCCAAGAAATAACTAACAAGCGGTTTTGCGTTAGCAGACCGGTGGGTTGTATCCAGTGATTCGTGCATCTGAAGATTCTTTAAATTGTGCCTTTTTCTGAGCACTTGAACATTTTGAAGACATTCACAGATGTGCTGGCAGCATCTGCAGCATTTCATATTCTTGACCTTGAGCAAACTGCAGAGAACCACTGTCCAGTAGCAAGTCAATAACATTCCACTCTGGCACCAACCTTCATCCTTTCACCTGGACATTGGATTAGACTCTGTTACCCACACACTTCCAACAGTCTTATGAAGTGGTGACCACATTCCCATTGTTTTGTGTATTATCTGGAATTATGATCCAGATCATCAGTAAATTAAAACTAAGTTGTCAGCAGTACAATTCTTTATTTCTCTATGCATACTGATTGTTATTTATACAAAAAAATATTGTAGTTTGCATTTCCAAAGTTGATAATTATAACACTATTTGGTTCTAACCTGTATTTCTTTTTATCAGGAAAAAATACTAGTAGTTAGTAGCAGGTCTCTTTGGAAAATGGTGTATTTCTCCATGTATTTCACATTCACTTTATCTGTAGTGTCATGTTATTTTAAGTTGCAGCATATGTAGGCCAACAAAAACTGACATAAGGGAAAGCAGCATAATACAGTGTAATGATATGTGACACATCCAGAATGAGGAGGAAACTCTCTTTCTTGGAACTAGTACCTATTGCTTACTGTGTTTGCCATTAACATACTCTCCTCCATGCAACACTCTCCCCTATGCAATCAAGGTACTCTTTACCTATGTCATAAAATACAGCTTGTCTTGAAAAAAACCCCAGCAAAATCATCAGTGATTTTTTTGAGACATTGATTCATAATTCAACCCTGATATTGCTTTCCTGATTCACAAACTATTCTTATGCAGAAACAAGGAATTAATCTTGATATTTTTCCCTTACATTTTAGTTAATAGATTAATATTTGACATCATTCATATTTGTGAAAGGTCAAGCTATGTACTCATTCATGTGAACCTTATAGACAGCTTAAAAGAGAGATATAAGTCAATAAAAAGTAAACTTAAAAATGTAAGTAAATGAAATAAGTCAAATATCAATTCTAGGAAGGAAGCAAGATAAACTAATCAAGCTCTTTAACGTGCTCTGAGTTTTGAACATGTATTTCACAATAGATTGCATTTCACTGCCCCACAGTGAACTGGATTTGAGTACAAATACGAGTAATAACTATCCTTTTATTGTGTTCCTTTTAACATAGGTCAGTTCTCAGCTTGCACTCATTGCATGGTTGCCAAATGCTTCCTTCTGTCACAGAAACAGCAACGGCACGAAAGGTGAAAAGCAAGAGAAACGACCCAGAATCACTTTTCTTGGCAGCAAGTGGCAAAGTGAGTGTGAAGTTCTCATAGAGGAAGAATTTGTTACTTAAAGAAATAACAACTTCCCTCATTATTCGTGTAGTCAAGTCTGAAAAACATACGAGAAATCTAAGTGAATGTATTTTGTCAGAATTAAAATGCAGATGGAACTATGGAGCAGGATATAAAAGTTTCATAATATACTGTCTATACAAGTTGATAAACAGCAGGAGTTACTCTTATTGATTGGTGAAGAATTTTTTTTTCCTTAAGAAATAAAAGCACCCCACTGTTTATTGTATTCTTGCTGTTGAAGGGATTTATTTTAAAGTAAAATATAAGTGGTCCTAAATTGAAAATAACAGCACTCATGGGAAAACTGAGAGAAGGCTCAAAAAAAGAAATCATGCAACTGAAGCTAAAACCAGAACTTTTCTGTTAGTGTCCAGTACAAATCAAGATCAAAGAGCCTAAATATTTTACTGTTATTAAGTATTCTTAAGACACAAGCAAAAAAGTCTTCTCAGAACTCAAAGGTAGGTTTCAGTTTTGGTATTTTGTTTTCTACTTGAGCTTAGAAGTTTCACTGAATCTGTGGGATGCCCATTTAGAATTGGCTTTGGAAAATATGCCCAAGTGCTTAAATACTGTAGTAGTACCTGCCTTATGAATGAAATTCCTTATGTTTATTCACTAATGAGTTATGGAACAGAAAAACATGGCTTTTTTTTTGTACTTGTGGGAAACTTCATTTTGTGACCGTAGGGTTTTAATAGATTATTGATTTCCATTTGTTAAAGTGTTACCTGTCAAAGTATTTTAATAACTTCTGGTTTTGGTCTAACTTAGTCTAGTTAATATTATATGCTTCCTATTGAAAAGTAGTAGAGGTGCTCATAGAACTTTAAACTAAAATTTTCATTATAAATAAGAACTATTTTCTATAAATAAAGATTCTGCCCAATTTCATTATTAAGACAGCAGACTGACCACTGCTTAAATTGGAGTAGCACCTGAGAAACTGCCCTGCATTCATTTCCCAGACTGAGCTAAAGAAAACAAATTTGATCATATTGCCATGGTGTGAGATCTGGATTTTGTAAGATTAGGTAGATGAGATGTCAATGTCTCAAATTCAAGATTGTGGTATTTAAGTTGTGAGTGGTTGTTTTTTTATTTGTGGCATTTTGCCGTGTAAGCAAGGATCAAAAGAGTATGAAGAAGGCAAATTGACTTCATTAATGAATTAAAACAGTAAAATTTTCTCAGGTTTCAAAACCATCAGGAAGGCCTTTTCTGTATGTGACATGTCTTGATTTCAGAATATGCTGCTTTTAACTTCTTTTAATATAACACATGGGAATGTGTGCCAAAATGTCACCTATATTTAATTAAATATTACCTCAAGACGGGGATACAGAATTTTGTTTCTTCGTATTTACAAGAATTTTCATTTTGAGAGCTGTTGGTCTTTATCCCTAAACTGATACATGTAATATTCAAATATTTTGGGGGATTTCCTCACTTTAATGCATATAAAAAGGTCATTATCCACTGCTGACTTTGAAAACTTTGTGAAATACAAAGTTATCTACGTGCAGGGAACTCTTGTGCCGTCGGGTACATCGACCACCGCTTTTCCCGCTGTTGCCTGGTGTTTAGACTGTTGTGATTCTGCTGATGTAGCTGATGGTTTTTGTCTTCATTATTCCTCTGCCGTTGTCCTTTCCTACAGGCTTACCCTGAGTTTGTCCTGACCTACCTAGAGGAACTAAATGAAAGAGAGGAGGTGACCCAGACAGAAAACCGTATTCACCATGGGGCCTGGGCTGCAGCTCATCAGGAGATAGACAGCAGCTCAGCAGAAGAGGTCACACTATTAAGCCAGAGGCAGGTCAGAGACAGTCCCTTCAAAAACACATTTTGAAAAGAGAAATATCAGTGTGGAAGTCAGCTTATTTCCTTAAAAAAAAAACCAAACAAACCCCTTTGATTCCTTTAATTTAGTAAGATATTTATATATTAGGCAAGTAATAGTTACGGACAGGATTATAAATGGATAAAAATATGTGTTTATTTCTGCCTTAGAACAGTCTATGCTCACAGCGCATGTAGGACAAATTTTTGAAATTTCCTCTGTGGAAAAAACTCAAGGAAGGAAGAGAAACAACAACAAAAAAAAAACCCCAACTCACAAGATCTCTAGATTTGTGCCTCTTGATGCATCTTGACATAGCTATTTGTATTTCTGACATTTTCTGCTAATCAACAGCCTCGCTTGAAAAAGTAGACACACATTATTTTAATTAGCAATATATAAATTACCCGGTTGTACTTTCATCTCTTAGGTTCTGCAAAAAAAAAAAAAAATATGTCAGCAACCCCAATCAGAAACAACTTTCAGGACCTTTGGACGCCCATTTAATGCCTGCAGATCCCCTAGGGGAGACTCCACAGCTGACAGTGGCACTGGTGAGGAAACCAGAAGCGAAACCTCCTAAGGCCCCAGCTCAAAGGTAAGCCACTGACAGAACTGATATTTATTGTTCAATGACATTAGATGTTTTCCTTCGGTTTCATGTAAGATTGATTTCCTGGATATTATTGAAATATCTCAGAAAGCCTCTGGCTGAGAAGCAAACAGGGATTTTGACCAAAATTAATGAAAAGGGGTGACATTTATGAGCTTCTTTTTTTTTTTTTTATTTATTTTTTTTTTTAATTTTTTTTTATTTTGAAGATTGATGTGGATGATGTTTGGTAATAATTGTAAGTTTACTTTTGAATTTTTTTCTCTCATTATCATGCAAGTTACATAAAGAAATAGGACTTGTATCTACACTGTGACATGTTTCGTGCCACAAGACTTAAATTTAAATGGCAAAGGTGTTATTAGAAAGCTGAAAGTCATGCTGAGCCAAAATATTAAGTGAAAGTCACTTCCAATGTAGGACTGTATTTTAATTTCAATGAAAGATCAAGGGTAGTGTTGTTATTGCTTCTACTTACAACAGGCAGAAGACTTTGCCTTTCTTTAGATAACTGAAACTATCTTATAGAAATGGCATTTGGCTACTTACTTTTGAGGTTTTGGGTATTTTTAGATCCAAACATATTAAAAATGGACCTCCCACTCAGATGAAAGACCACAAGACATCACTTGCTATTAGGATTAAAGTTGAACTCATTAGTGTTGTTACTACTGGCAATAAGTTAATGACAGTGATTTGCTAGACTAGAATTTCAGGTGTTTCCTTTATAATATTATTTTACAAATATTTAGTCTTTCAGTATCTGAAATATTCTCAAATGTGCCTGAAGACTCTGACATGACTGAGGTACCTGAAGGTATTGGCTATCAGCAGATTTTGGGGAACTGTGTAGTTAGGGGTAGATTACCTGTATTTTGGATAGTTTTATTTTTTATTTGATGAAATAAAAGGTAAACTTGGGTTCTAGCATTAATATTGACTATACTGGCGCTTTCAAAAGATGCCATCTGCAACGTAATGTGAGGATTTGTCCAGCATCACTTGCTCCACAGTGCTTGGAATATGAATTATTGTGCTGTAAAGGGGTAATGTGATGTCAGGGTCACCTCAAAGTATTTAACTTCATTGAAGTATGACAGAATAAGTGAAATTTCAACTAAATGTCTGTACTTCTAGCCTCAGATAACAGGATGTAAATATTAAGCTAGAAGTCTCTTCTTGCAGAACAAACACATTTGATTTAGAAAGCTGTCTGCAGTCAAGATCTTCCCACTGACAGTGGAGTTATGCAGTCTAAAGCATTTTCCTGAACTTGAATTAAATATAGAAAAATACATTTTAATACCCAAACAACATTATTTCACTGTCAGAAATATTTGGCATTAAGTAGCAATTATAACAAATTCAAAACTGCAGTTACATCTGTTATGGGAGGTACTAAGTGATTTAAATTCTCTTTTGCTGCAATTTTTCACTAGACTGTGATAAGTACTAATGTAGTCTGCTAAACAGCTGCCACATCCCACTCTGTAGTTTGTAGAATCCTTTCAGTGACTGAAAGGTGATGTAAGATTAGGGAGACAGGGTTTTATCTCCTGTGATTTGAAAAGCTGTTCCATTTCCAAGTAGCAATAAAACTTGCCTTCCTTTACAAAACAACATGAAAAACTGTCATAAGCACAAATTGTGTGTTAGAGGAAAATATATCTCTGTGTCCTAGAATTGTTTCAGTTGGTCCAGATATAGGAGATGATAAAGTGAAGATTATGATCACTGTCCCTCCAGAGTTCAACTGGATTTTATGGAACTCTTTTGGTTAATGGCCCCACTTGGCACATTCGTAGAATTTCATGAAACTTTTTGGCTTGCTGAGAGGGGGGGAAGGAGATTCAACTGCCCAGACACGGGTGTTTGGGCTAATTTTTGGGTGTTAAGGGGTATATCACCAGGCTTCCAGCTGTTTTGGAATGCTGCACGTCTCCTGCCAGTGCTGTGACCTGTTTGTGAGAACTGTGCAGGTGCTTTGGGTACATTGGCAGTGTCAAATGTAGCCAGTGCCTCTTTTTAAGCTTTGAGTCATGATGGAATCACAGAATATTGGAGTTGGAAGGGACCCACAAGGATCATCAAGTCCAACTCTTAGGCCCATACAGGGATCAAAGCCACCCTAAACGTTTTGTTTTCCAGCTTAGTTTTGTAGGAATGTGCATTGCAGAGAGATCATTCTTAGTGTTTTTATGGTTTGGTTTCTGAGAAACATTCACACTTTGGCCAGAACAGCACGAAGACAGCCCAAGAAAACCCTTTTCATTAGGCTCTTCCTATCACATCCTATAGAATAAGGTTAAGTTTCAAAGCATATGGTTAATTAGATTGCAAGCTTGTCTGTTTGTATAATTGTCATACTTTCAGGCTTCCTTTCCTTACTTATTTTTGCTGGTTGAAGGCTGCAGTCAGCCCCTTTCTTACCTGCACATTGTTTAACCAGTTGCACATTATCCTATGATATGTGTTAGTAAAGACAACAATGAAGTGAGCTTCTTTGGTTTTGGGGTTTTTTTGTGTGTCTTATCTCAGTGGTCTTGGCAGGTCCTTAGTATCTTTGAGGACATCTTATTGAGTGTTCTTTCCAATGTTGTTTTCTAATGCATCTCACACTTTTAACAATTTGCATGATACATTATGCCTGTAAGACAGAAAAACTTGAACCTCATCTCTGATTTACCTGACCGAATCCCCAAGTTTTTATGTGAAAGCTGAAAAATTTCCATTCCAGAAAATACTATTGAGGAAAAAATGACAAGTGTTGCCCCAAACAGACCAAAATCCAATCCAAGGTAGTTGCTGGACATGGAGGATTCAAGCTGCTGAGAAGGAGTGGTGGCTTTTAGGATAAGGATGAGTAGAGAAGTGAGCTGTGTGACTGTGACATGTGTACTTCCCTCAGTGCACAAGAACTAATTACTTAACTAAGTGACTAATGACCACTGATTTCCTTCCCACCCTTGTTCTCATTCTCCCTGTTCATGTATGGGAAACAGCTAATCCATTGCCTCCTTTCACTCAAAAATAGTTTTGAATGGACACTTTTATGAAGAAATGACATATTATTATCTTTGCCTGGGTCAAGATAATGACTTGATGTTTCTGGTGTTACCCTGTGGAACTGTAAGCCCTGTAAATTCTGGCAGTGTTTTTAAATTACTTCTCTCACTGTTATGATATTACAGGTTGGGCCCAGCTAGGAAAGTGCTCTTGTATCAACTGTAGCAAATTTGTGGTGTCCTGGCAATACATTCCATTTGTGAATTGTCCCTTTAAAGGTGCTGGTCACATAATCACCTGTTTCAATGCAGCTTTGGTTTCAGACCTTATTGGATCACTTTGTTGCTATAAGTAAGCTTGATTTCACAAGTTTCTGAATATTTGGTCTCCAATCCAGATATGCATTTGAGTAAGCTCCAAGTAAAGTACGTGCTAGGTACAAGCATCCTTGGATCTGAGTCAGAATGCTTATGACCTTGTCATATTTAATACTAAGACAGATGCAGCTGGGACACTTGGTTTCATTTTAATTTTTCTGAATCACTTGGACAAATTCAGTTATCACATTTTTGTAAGTCTTAATGGTGTAGGGAAAAATGACTAAGGAACACCCCTATGGAGATGGAAATGTTTGCCCACTTCTGTTGTTGGTTACAGCTAAGCAAACGCTTGACCTTGATTCTTTATACACTGTTCATTCATTTTAAATTCCATGTGGGCAAAACATAAGTGAAAGTCATAATGTACATCTGTATTGTAATTGATTACTCCATGAAGACAGATGAGAGTATATTAGAAACACTAATTCATTACTGGATTATTGTAAAGATCTATTCATAGATTGCCCATTCCACAAAATAAAAAAAAAAAAAAAAAGAAAGGGTGTTTTAGACTGTATTTTCTGCATTTTAAAAGTTCTTGTATTCATTTGAAGTACCCCCTCAGATTTCTATTTGTGGAAAGTCCTTTCTGGTAAAAACATCTTTTCGATGAGTTGCAATGATTTTTCATGATATATCTGCCATGTAAGTGTTATAAAGGTTAAAGCTTTGAATTGTGACAAATTAGCTTTCATTATCTGCTTTAGTCACATCTTGACAAAATTATTCCAATAGCTGTGTCTGCTACAGATCCAAATCCAGTTCTGTGCTCATCACAGGGAGGAAATGCTACACATCCATCTGAAAACGAAAGGAAGGTACAATAAACATCACATTCCCCTTTTCAGAGAGCATCTGAAGAGATTTGTTTGCATTGGCATATCCCAATTCGAGCAGGTTGCCTTTATTGCACTGGAATAGGAACTGGGGGGCTGAGGGGGTGTGGGGGAGTTTGTAGCAGCCGACAAAGCATGGTGACCCAGCTTGTCACCCAGTGACCTGTGAGAAGGAAATAATGAACTGTGAGTGGCTGTCATCTTAACTCTTTCTGACAGTTTGGCTATGGGCACATCTGTGGTAGTTGCATGGAAAGGCCTTTGTTGTTTTCCCACTAGTGACTTTGCAGACCGCTGTGGGCTTTGCTGGCTGCCCTGCTCCTACACTTCCCCTCCTTTTTTATTTTTTTAGTGGTAAGAGCAGCTGCCACTGATAGAGCTGACATTTCTTTTAATGATTTACTTGGCATTTATACCCGTTAAAAACCAAGAAATGAAATTGAAATACAGCGTGCGGTTCTTGTAAATGAAAATATTCTCTGTGTCCGTGTAAGATCTGGTGCAAATATGCATATAATCATTGTCTACATCACTTGCAGCAGTTTTCAGCAGCTGTAGATGCCCTTCCATCCTAATATCTTGCCATACTTAACTATTTTGAGTGAAATATTGAGTCTTATGGTAATAACATTTTAAATAATCCAGTGTACAATGAGACTAGCAGGTTTTCATGGCTAAATGATACATTACAAAATAAACAAACAACTTCCCCCACTTATTTATTATTAAAGGAAACGATTCCTTCTTTTTTCAGATTG